GCTCGAAGGAGCACTTTATTAATCCTGGTTGCCCTATATGCTCATATTTATATTATGATAAGGTACGTAGCCTTTTTTCGGCGCTGGCAAATTTGAAACGTGATTTTCATAACCAATTTTAAACAAAAAATATAGAATTCAATTATTATATTATTTTTTACCCGATTTTTTTTAATCATCAAAAAGTCTAATGACAATTCATCGCCATCAATTGTAAGTTTTTACGGGCGATCTCTGACTACCGCAGTGCCAATGCAATCTTTTCACTTTTCATGTGTTACTTATTGAAAAAAGTAATAGATTATGCAATATTTATCTTGATATTAATCAAACGTAAAACTTCAAATTAATATAACTTTGGATTATGGTTTTCGTATAATTTTATAAATGTGCAGAAGCTTTAGAATCTCGAGGATCGATCCTACAATAGGATGTCCTACGAGGACGGAATCGGGATCTACGAAAGAAACTCAAAAAGCAATGGCGAATTATACTTCCGTGCAATTCAAATATCTGCCTTGATTCTTTATCGCGCTATTATTACGGTAGATTGGTGCAGTCTAGCATCAGGTGGTGCATATTAACGATTTTTTTTCACAGCGTGATATATAGTAGTCTTTGTGAGGTCTATTGGTAGTCTTTGGATCGATACATTGCCATCTTTGGTGATCTCGCGTTCTTCGATCTCGCTTTCTTCCCTCTTTCACTGAATTTTACGCGAAATTGTTATTGTAGATCAAATTTTATAAGATATTTTTCAGTATGCAAACCATTCGAGTTGTAATTTGCCGAAGTGTACAATCATGCGAATAAATGGTATCAAAGCAGGAGCGTGTCTTCTCGAAGGAAAAATCGTACAATCGATGAAATCAGTTTAATGCTGCAGATTCCTACTCATTTCTTAATCTTCAAAATATTTGAACGTTTCACACATATCTTTTATACATATTTGTTAATTCATTGATACGTAAATTCTTATATTCATAAATGTAAAACAAAAATTCCAACGTATTTATATAGATGACATTTGTTTTCAATCCCTTATACCGTTATTAATTAATAATTATTTATTTACATTTTATTTGTCAAATGTACGATTTTCTCTTGAGTTTTCCGCTTAATAAACGATACTTTTCGCTATTTTTCTTTCAGAATAAAAGAGCGCTATAGGGTCCCGGTCACGCTCACGTTTCGCATGATTCGTTTCACAGTGCGTTGTGCAGGATTCGCTTTCACGATACTGTATTTATGCCTATACACGTGTATATATATTTATATACGTATATAAAAAAGAAATAAAACGGACTCGCTAGAGTAATTTTCTAGAGACGGTACAAAATATCTGATTGACATGTACTTCTCGCCCCTGTACTTTAAAAGTGTGATTTATATATTTTTTTCTTTATATATATATATCTATCTGTAGATATATGTATATATATATATATATATATATATATATATATACTTCTTCATATTTTATATTAACCTCTAATATATCCTTACGCGAATACCACTCTATGTTAATGTAATAATAGCGTACTGCCTACTGATATGTGTTAGTTCACTTGTAAAGCACTTTAAAATTCAATCTAATGATTCATCGATTCCGATCGTGAATAACGACAAATCCGCCTCTTAACGGCTAATTACAAAATAACGAGCTATTGAATACACCGAATAATGCGTTTGCCGCGCTGCATCCTCGCATCTTTCCAAGATCGACGATCATCCCTCGCGATCGCGATACTCGAGCGATCACGGTCGCGTTATCCAAACTCGTCTGCTTACATTTTTCATTATCCTATCTTCGCTATATTTCTCTCATCTTCTTTTTTGCTAGATATTTATCTTATTCGTGATTCGAAATTCTCATAGATTTTTATCTTTGGACACTGATGTATTCCATTAACCCTTTGCACTCAAATGTTATTTATTCTATTTTTCTTAATTACAAAAGATATGCATTGAGAACGTTATAATACTTCTTTTTAGGAGAAGGCGAACCATGTGAAAGTCTGGTTTCAAGCGCATAAAAAGTTATTCTATCCGCAATGATACACTAATCAAATTTTTTTTCATCATTCAATTACACGTTAACGCAATCATTTGTTTTTGAATAACTGAGATGGATATTCTTGTTTATGAGAATTTCAGTCCATCTTACTGCTCCTCGAATTGTAAGGCCTCGATTCGATTATAACTTAGATTATACCTCCTAAAGTTTCGTAAATTACATTTTTTATCGCAGTGGTTTGTTAGTTGTAGCGTTAAATCCAAAATTTGTAGCATTACAAAATATCAAATTTTTTATCCCTTTCCATTCGATTATCTACATTGATATGTAAAGTAGAACTTGAACGTAAGAGCGCAAAGAGTTAAAGTGGAAATTCGAATATTTTGCCTGATAACAATATCCTATTACTTTCCATTATCTCTTCTTCTTTTTCTTACGCGTATATTTAGATGTATCGTGTATTCGTCAAGTCCCAATATCGCGGAGTGATTCTAACGTAGTGCTCTCCAGTCGCTTTCCGTAGAAAAATAAAGAACATACTGGCGCGATCATGACTTGACGATCGATGACGACGATGATGAGAGATCAATAATGAATGATCGATCGATTCGCCCGAGCACGCCGGTGGATGATCGCCATTACCGATATCCACTGTGGCGGCTTTTTTTATTTCTTAAGTAACTTCCATTTTCGTTAATTGCGGATACATGTAATAAATGCCCAGTGATATAACGGGAGATACAAAGGTTGGTCATGTAACTCTAGGATTCGACGGAAGCTGCGTAAAATTACGGAAAGCTACTTTAATGATCTTTGTTACGGCTATTTGTCAAGATTGATTTATAATCTCATGTTATAATCAATAAAAATATTCGTCATATAATCTTATTAAAAATGTAAACTTATTAAAATCATACATCAAATACAGAATGCAAATATCATTATAATTTTCTTCAATACGTACATACAGTTGCATGAGACTGTTTATGAAATTCGGCACAGAGTCAAAGAGAAATCATATCAAAAAGAGATTACCAAAATAGCTATTAATGAATTTATTGAGCTATTTCGGGAAATAAATTTTGCTCGAATACTCACTAAAAACTCGCTTCTGGCTCTTGAATCATCATGAGATCTTTAATGCGTCCTCATTGCAGCTTTCCGCCACCGAGAAAGTAAGAGGAGAATGCGAGAGGGAAAGGAAAGTACAATAGGGCGAAATAGAGGCGAATGGGACGAATTTCGGGTACGGTTGCACGTTTAGAGAAGCGCCGGGAGTTTTCTCTTTAGGAGTTCGAAAAATCGGGACAAGATCTATGTGTGTAACACGCTACCGATTACAGCTTGTGACTCGACCAACAGAAAGGCACTTGGGCAAATTACGTGCCGAGTTGGCCGCCGTTTCTAACACGCGGGGCACATCACCTTCACTACTACTCTCTTTTCTTCCGTCCGTTCTCGCGCGATATTTTACTTTACGGAGAAGCGGACGATTCAAATTCTCTTCTCGCCGCACTTGAATTCTCATCTACAGACTTAACCCTATGATATGTTCGCGTTCGTTATGTATATATATGTATAAGATTATTACTTACAATCACTCTTTCACCTATCATTCTCTCAATTTGGTCACTCTTTCTTTCTTCCATGTTCTTTCGTACATGTTCTATCATCATTCGCAATTTTCGCTTGCACTCCTGCTCAGGTTCTCTCTTTCTCTCTCTCTCTCTCTCTCTCTCTCTCTCTCACACACACACACACACACACACACACACACACGCACGCACGCACGCACGCACGCACGCACGCACGCACGCACACACACACACACACACACACACACACAAAGGCACACGCACACACACGCATTACATCTTCACCTAGGACACACTAGACTCTTCTTAACAAGATACAATAGTTAAATGTACGCGCGCTCATTTTCCGCACGCGACGCGCCGATGATAAAACATAAATACACACTTCTTAGGGCACCTTTGGTATTAAGCTTGATGTACTCATCTTCGCCTCGCTTGTTTCGTTTCAGTATGTAGAATATGCAATTTCGCGTTAGAACCACCACCAGGATTCGCATTGTGCATTATTGTAATTTTAATCACGCGCTAATGAGCTTAATTTTTGCGAGGCTCGATACTTACAACTATTACTTTTTCAACAATATGAACAATTTGGAAAATTCGAGCTCAATGTGACTTATTTAAGAAATTTGTCAGAAATTTGTTTCCGAAACATCCAATAGATTTATCGTTGACTATAAATTTCATGGTACGTGTGCGGATGTATCCCAGGGTGGCATGGTATGTTTGAAAAAATCTTCGCGACTGTCGCGTATAAATGTATTTGTTTGTATGAGTGTGTGTTTTGGGTATGCATGGTACATATGCATGTACGTGTAACCAAATATCGCGATATGACGTGCGCGTGTAACTGCGAAGAGTGCCATTCTTTACATATGTATACACATACAAGAAATAAAATCCGTTTCCTCGCTTGCTTCATTCTTCTGTTGCCTTTTCCTCGCTCCACCAGCCACATTTCTATCACCCCCGCCCCTGTCTCTCGCTTCGTCGTCGTCGATCGCGATCAAAGACACGGTGAAAATAAATAGTAGGTAAAGGTAGGTACGCGAATCGATAAGTTAAGTTCGTTAAAAAATATATATACCTAGGAATTATTATGTGATTATATTGGGCCCCCCACTAGAGTCGCGCGAACCAACGCCTCCGTTTTGCAACGTCGAAGAATTTACAAGAATTTGCCTACCGATGTGTTCGCTGTGTCCCTTTCGGGCAGAAGAGCGAAATCTTACTCTTCCGTGCTCGCAATTTTTGCATCTCTTCTCTTCCCTTCTTTCTTG